CAATACATAGGAACAATTGTTTGTTATGTGTTATATGTGCTATGTGCTTTTCCGTGTTATTATCTCGTGTTGTTATTCCGTGCTATTATTATAGCAAAGTTGTACCTTTGACCATGTGATAAGTGAAAGGACTTAGATTCACGGTGGTACTGGTATGTAGCCTCTGTCCATGTAGAGCATGTCTCGTAAGACAATGACTTCTATTCTATGGCATTGACAGATGGTTAGATAGGGTTGAAAGCCTGAAATCTACCAAAAAGTTTAATCAGAAAGTGTATGTCTTCTGTGCCATTTGGGCCGAAGCTTTATTGATGTTTATCAAGTATTGAAATTGTTATGTCTCATTGATCGAATATCTTTGAATCAAATCATTGATTAATATGGAAAGCTTGTCACATGATTCACATATGCCTTTGTTGTTCCTTGTTCCCTTTGCTTCTGCCAAATTAGGGTATATATATATATGGCATAACGTTATATTGTATCTATTATTGAACTCACTAAGCGTCACCGCTTACCCTCTTAATGTTTAACATTTGCAGGCAATAAGCAACCAGTATAGTTATATACTGTCGGAAGATTTAGAATAAGTTTTTACTATTACTTTTGTACTTCAGTTTATGTTTGTATAAAATTACAATATCCTGGATAGTTATGTAAAATATTAAAACTTAGTCGGTTTGTATCCAGTCTTTTGTAATCAAACTATCAATGTAAAATATTCTTTTATGAATATGCATGTAGCATGTTTTGGAGTAATAATGTTTCGATTATGAGAGTGTGGGTCTTTCAATCATGGTATCAGAGCGGTAGTTTAAGTGAACTAAATTCCACGGATTGGTATTTAGACTTAAACTATTGGAAGTTCAATATATGAACGGATTCGTTGTAAGTATATGGATACAAATCATAGGACTTAAGTAAAGTATTAGGTAATAATAAATCCTAATATTCTAAAATACTATATTACTCCAAATTTCAGAACAATGGCTGAACAGATGAGTAGCCATACACCAGAGGTGGGTGGAGGTCCTCAACCTGATGAAGTAAATACTCCAGTATCTCCTTGTGAGGAGCGACTATTGGGTAAACTTACTGGTGTTATTCGGCAGACTCTCGAAGAACACAAAAAGAATGGTGATAAAGGAAAAGAGAAAGTCACCGGAGAATCTTCTAAAGGGGAGACGAGACGCCCATCATTCAAAACTTTCAAGAGTAGTGGTGCTATAGAGTTTTCTGGTGTCCTTAATCCCAGAGTTGTTCTAACTTGGATTCAGAACACAGAGAAAGTATTTCGTATCTCCCATGTGGATAATGAAGACAAGGCTAATTATGCTTCTGCAATGCTCATCGGAGAAGCCTTGGTTTGGTGGGAAGCAACATATGAAGCTCTCAACGAGTATGACCAAGAGAATATATCTTGGGAAATGTTCAAAACTCGTCTGCTAGGGAAGTATTGTCCTCTAGACATGAGGAGGAGATTGGAGAAGGAATTCCTCGAGCTTAAATAGGGAGGGATGACTGTGAATGAGTATGAAACTCAGTTTAATCAAAGAGCAAGGTTTGCTACAAAGTACATTCCAACTGAAGACGAGAAAATTCAGTTATTCATGGGGGGACTACGGCATGAAATCTACGATTTCGTTGTAAATCGGGATGTTCTGTCATTCGATAAAGCAGTTGAGTATGCTCGGAGACGCGATGGTCACATTCAAGCCTGCAAATGCATGACCCACAAAGGATCAAATCAAGTTTAATACCTCTGTGAGATAGTGCCATCGCAGAGGGAATCCGTCCTTGCATAGCTCTCCATACAAAACATGTTACCATTATGGGGATTCGCTTGCTCCATTTGATTGTTACCTGTTGATTGATGAAAGGGAACACTTGATCTATCTTTTGCCTTAGCATATGTACCTTATAGTTTCCATCAGGTCTTAGTTTGCATTTGATCTCATCTAGACCAGGTTGTAGCCGAATAGGGGTGATGGTATTTGTTAAATTCTTCAACTCAGTAGTTAATCCCACATTTATTCGACAAGAATGCCAACTCCAATTGATTCCATCTGTAGGTATCCTGGTACTCACCTTACACATTTTCTGAGTGTCAAGAGCATAAAGTGAAGGGAATGTAGACTTTAATTTACAGGTTCCAATCCAAAAATCCTGCCAAAATTGAATATTGTCCCCTGACTTGATCACCTGTTGAAATATATCATAAAAACTAAGACCCAACCTTTCAATGTCCTTTTTAGTACCCGATATGTTGTTCCATACACCAGAAATTTGTTTTCTTGATAAGTGCTCAAACGGTTTATTACATAAATTGTGAATTCCTGAAATAACCTTACACCATAGGGATGAAGATTCGTTTCTTAACCTCCACCACCATTTCACCATAAGAGCTATATTAAGTGCTTTAATGGACCCAACTCCTAATCCACCATTCTCTTTAGATGCTATCACTTTTTCCCATGACACCCAATGTATCTTCTTCTTTTCTTCGTTCCCACCCACAAGAATTTCCTTCTTAGCTTTCCTAGAGTCTTAATTACCCCAGAAGGTGCTTTAAAAAGTGACAGATAATAAGTTGGGAGATTCCCCAACACAACTTTGATGAGTGTTAAACGCCCTCCGAATGAGAGAGTTTTTGCTTTCCATTTGGAAAGCTTTACTCGGAATTTCTGAATTATGGGGGACCAGTTCTTTTTGAGATTCAGGTTTGCACTAACTGGCACACCCAGGTAAGTGAATGGAAAAGATCCAGCTTTACACCCCAGGATACCGGCCCATTGTGTGATTTCTGAAGTAGGAGCCCCAATGCCATAAAATTTGGACTTGTTGAAGTTTACCTTTAGGCCAGACGAAACATGAAAGCATTTGAGGATACTTGCAAGGTTTTTAAGGTTAGATTGGCACCATTCCTCAATGAATAGAGCATCGTCCGTGTAAAAAAGATGGGAAATAGGTGAGCCATTACCATGAATTTTCACAGCTTTGAATAATTTTTTTGTCCCTTGCAGTCTTTAACGCCACATTGAGTCCCTCCATTGCAATAATAAATAGAAAAGGTGATAAAGGGTCGCCTTTCCTAACACCTTTAGTAATCCTGAACTCTTTGGTTGGGACACCATTTATCAATACAGAAGCACGAGCTGATGACAAACATCCAGAAACCCATGATCTCCATTTATTCCCAAAACCCATTTGGGCAAGAACTGAGTCTAAGTACTCCCAATTAATGGAGTCGAAGGCTTTATCAAAGTCAACCTTGAATAAAAGTACTTTTTTCTTAATACTTTTCGCCCAAGAACAAATTTCGTTACTGATTAGAGAGCCGTCCAAAATATTTCATCCTTTGACATACGCAGATTGTTCTTCACCAATGACACTTCCAATCACCTTCTTTATTCTCATTGCTAGGACCATGGTTATTATCTTGTAAAAACAGTCTATCAGACTAATAGGGTGATATTTTAATAGCATAGTAGGGTCTTTTATTTTTGGAGCGAGTGTTATGAATGAAGAGTTGCAACATGGGGCAAGTGAACCCCGATCTTCAAAGTGACGCATGGGATTGATCACATCCTCACACATCAGGTTCCAGTAAGTTTTTATGAACTTAAAAGTTAGCCCATCGGGGCCAGGTGCTTTGTCTCCACAACAGGCCCAAACAGTCGCCTTAACCTCCGATACGGAGAATGGAGCTTCAAGGCGGATGACGTCCATCATCGATAAAGATTTGAAGTTTGTGTTGATAAGTTTAGGTCTTGAAGTCCATCTCTCCATGAAGTTCAGTTGAAAGAATTTGTAAGTTTCTTTTTTAATGTCACTAACATCCGCTGACCATCTTCCATTGATTGTAAGACCCATGATTTGGTTCTTCTGTTTGTTGTTGTTAACATGACAATGAAAGAAGGTTGAGTTTTCGTCTCCATCTACCACCCATTTTAATCAGGCCTTTTGTTTAACATCTAATGTTGCCATATGTTCAAGTTCCAAAATCCTTTTGAGACCATTGCTACAAATCAATAGTTCATTTTTTGATAGGGTTCGCGAATCAGCCACAATTTCAAGGTCTTTAATCATTCCTTTTAAATGTGTGAGTTCGTGGGCTTCATTTTTATGTGAGCTTCTACGCCATTTCTTGATCTCTTCTTTTACGTGCTTAAGTTTTGCAGCCAGGTAAACGTCCGCCCGACCATGACCACTAAAACCAATCCATGCATTACTTACAATCTGATCGATTCCCTCCACCGTGATCCATGAATTGAAAAACTTAAATGATGGAGGACCAAAATCATTGGATATCGAAGACAAAGTGATGGGGCAGTGATCAGATAAGTGTTTGGGGTGAGCAATGGCAGTAAGTGATGGGAAATATGATAGGAAAGAAGAGCAAGCAAGGAACCTATCAATTTGGCTTAACTTTGCATCGACACGACTCATATAAGTATATCGCTCACCGCCCATATTGAAATCGATAACGCCTGCATCATGTATGAATCTATTAAAATTGGAAGCAATATACGGGCAAAATTGTGAGTTAAATCTTTCCTCCTTCCGTCTTACTGCGTTAAAATCCCCAAATAACAACCAATTCCCCATCCAGTTCTGTTTAATTTGTAACAAATCTTTCCATAATTTCTGTTTCTCAGAGCTTGCATGAGGTCCATAGATGTTGGCCAATATAGTATGTCCAGGAATACCAGACCAATTACCAATGGTAATTATATAATGTCGATGCTTTAACACTTGTGCCTTTTGAAAGTATCTCGTATCCCAAATTGAAATCAGCCCACCAGATCTTCCATCGGAATCGACCCCTTCAAAGTCCATATCATTATCTCCCTAGCAGCCATGAACATCTATTTTAGAGTAATCTAAAAGTTGTGTTTCTTGTAAACCCAAGAAATTGATTTTATGGAGCGCCTTCAAACTTCTTACCTATCTGATTTTAGCATCCTCGCCTATACCTCGAACATTAAGAGATAAACAATTCATGGGTAACAGTCGTGTACACCTTTTTCACCAACAACAGACGCGAGTATGTTGTTATCAGCTTCAATTTGAGAACCGACCAAAGCCCCAATTTCTGCAATCTGAGCATACTCGTTTGGTTTCGAGCAATCGACATGGTCTCTTCGATCCTTAGTAGGGACGGAAGGGTTATCACTCACTAGGTTGCTAGTGTGATCTGGGGGGTTCGTTGTATGCGTCATCGGAACTCCTGCGATGGTATTTTCTGAATGATGGAGGACATCGACCTGCTTTGCAGGCGGAGAGAATATGAGGTCCAAGATGTTAACGGCGTCAACATCCGATCTTTTCCTTTTTTTCGCTGGTGGGCCAACAATATTTGGGTTCAAACATGGGAAGGGTCCAAAACAACCGGAAGGGACTAAATTCTCCAGTCTTCCATGTGTAAGTGGGCTAGTTGACCCAATAGGAACATGGTCAGTGTTGCATTTATCAGCTGTCTTAGACTGGAATTTGAACGACTTTGGGGGAGTTAATGCCTTGAGTACGGTTCCATCAGTTGTTTTCTTGGGGATTCCAATCGTTTTTTCACCATTGGGGGTATCACCACTTTGGGAATTATCAATAATTGTTTCCTTCTTCCCCATGATTGACGGAGTGAAATCTTTCGTCCACCCGCCGGCATCAGATTCATGCCTCACCGGACTGTTAATCCGTGATGGTTCCGACCTTATTTCTCCTTCTTCTGTATCGTCATACTGGTCACCCATCCATGTATCCGATATACCATCTTCTTCCTCATCATTTTCGCTAGAATCATCCACAACCTCTTCTCCTTCTTCGCCTGATTCCTCATCAACCTTATCAAATGGGGCGGGAAGAAATGGAGACCAGTCATCTGTGTATTCCACTACGCCAATCTTGTATGTCTTACCATCCGCCACGACAGTGACTTCCGTATTGATCCATTTCCGTTCCGACGTGAGAACGCTAACCTTTTCCATTGAAAAGTCGCGTCTTGTGTACAGTTTATTGAACGGAGATACAATCCTACCAAAACGACCGTCGATGATGTTAAAGTTCTCTTCGTCCCACAGGCGTAGAGGAACCCCTAAAATTTTAAGCCATGCGGTTCTTTCATATGGGATTTCGTGTTGATCCGCTCTAACTAATCGATTGAACCAATCTCTCCATCAAGTATTATCATTGAAAAACTCCAAAGCTTCTGCAGAACTATCAAAGTGGAGGGCTATGTTGAGACCTCCTAGATACTTTGTGCCTTCATTCATTAGTAGTGGTGCCGCAAGGTTTCCAATATGATCTAAGCTATGGGCTTCACCAAATCAAGACTGACTTCTTTAACCATTCATTCATGACCGTTGCTGAGTTTATGGTTATTGGCGACATTTGAATATTGTTTTCTCTTCCAGAGGCGACATGTGCGAAAGATCTACCATCCCTAATACCCGACTTTAGTGGGGGTGGGGCCACTCTGACGATATTACGTTTTAGATGGGTCTGTTGCAGATTCGGCGACTTCCTTGGATGTCGGGATAGGTTGATAATGAGAGGTCTCTCCTTCAACGTGGTTCCTTGTAGTTTGTCTTCCAGTTCTTTCTCATCTCCCACTCCTTTGAACCTTACAAATGCAAAGTTCATTTTCTTGTTATCTCTCTTATTCCCCATATAAACATCTGCTACATGGCCATGTTTTGAGAAAAGTGACCAGAGCTCCGACTTCTTTGTTCCCCCATGAAATCCTGCTACATAGATGTTGGTTAAGTGGCTTAAATGACCACCATTTGTTGTTTGTTTTCTCCGACAAACTTCCTCCCATTCTTCGGCCATATTCGTACTCATATGTTAGTTAACTTAGTTTTTGTCCCAAAAGGAAAATTTTAATTAAACCTACGACTAAAAAACCATTTTTTCTATAATAACATTAAAATCAAAAGTGGGACCAAACAGACAGCTGTCATAATATTAGAGATTAGAAAGAGTGGGGAGAGAAAAAGAAGGACGCACCTCCATTTTAAAGTGAAAATATCATTAGTCATCATTAATTCTTATTTCAAGTTTTCTGCTTTTATTGGGGGTTATTTTTCGAATGTTTCAAAGTACAACTTACATCTACACCCGATCCCAACACCTTGGAACTTACAAGTTAAAATAAAACAATTCTTTCTTGGAACATTCAGAATCATTTCAACCGGGCATTTTATCAAACACCTGTTATGCATACCAGTAAGCACCAATTACTACGACATCAATTGCTTGTTGCTACATACAAAAAACAACTTGATTTTATGAATCGTGATTCGATTTTACAAATGAACTCTTTATCGGATGCAAACCAACAAAGACACGAAATCTATATGATGAGTCCGTCGGGTGCGCGAATAATCCCTTCCTATTCTGGTTCCTCCTGGACGGAGGATTGGTTCGAGATCAAAGTCAAAACTTTAGTTTGATTTTAGTTCATAGAACCAACAAAAATGGAGTCGGAAATCTGAAGCAATAAAGGAAACCACATACGTAATGGGGAAGAGGAGCTATTACCTTGTATGTATGGAAAACATCAGTTGCTCACTTAGACCAAACATTTGGAGATCGCCTACTTCCATGTCAGACTCAAGAAATTAAGAAGCAAAAATAGAAGATTGACAAAAAATCAAACACCTCATACATCATCAACGTCTAAACAACAAAAAAACACACACGAAAATCAAAACTTATTTACATGATGTTTCGATACATAGATCAAAATAAATAAAGAAATCGACGAGGTCATCCATCCATGGTGTTTCAATTGTAGGAAAGAAAATGGAGTGACATGGGAGAAGCGGGGACAAAAGATGTGAGAAAAATTGTTGTCATACATGAGGGTGAAGGCGAGAAATGTTTATTTTGTAGCTTTGAGGAGTAGAGATGGAGATTGGACTTTAGCGTGAGAGAAGGAGAAGAGATCCAAAGGAGTACATGAGATTTTGAAATTTTAACGGGTATGCTTATCAATTAAACTCAAGGAATAAGAATTGCTGATTTAACGTGATTGATTTCAAATATATGATTCAAGTTGTTGGAAGTTGCCGTAAATAATGATACAAATTTAAAGTTTAAATACTAATTTAAACAAATTGTGAGGAGATTTCGGAAATGAGTTATACTAATTTTGAAAATATTAATTAAAATTGTGAAGGGTATAAAGGTAAAATTATTTTTGGCTGAAAACCAATGTGGAAGAGACATATAGAGAAAATGAGTCTTTTTAGATAGGTAGATTATCTTTGTAAGTATTATATTCAGGTTGTTGGGACTGTGGGTATCATTAAAAGGAGTTGTAGGTGTTATATTCAGGTTGTGACTGTGGGTATCGTTAAAAGCATCCACAAATAATTTCCCATCTTTTTGTTTTGAAACCCCAAGCAATGCTTTTCATCCTATCTTTACATGTCTATGGTAGATTTTTTTTCCCTGTGAAAAGGAATCTAGCGAAAATCAAGGAACAAAAACAGAGGTTTGGAACCTCTAGTCTCTCTTGCTAGGCTATTTTTATTATGTTGTGCTCTTCTTGCTTTTCAAAAAAAAAAAATGATATCCAGAAAAAAAAAAAAGGAATGAGGTCACATAAATTATCAAATCGTAATTTACACACTCAGTCACTCGCCCACGAGGGTACATGAAACAATTAATTCTAACGAAATAGTAATTGTTAATATCAATTATCTAACTCATTCGGAGCAGTTTCCGATGATGAAACGCCGGTAAAGTACAAAGATTCAACATGCAAAAACGAGTAAAACGTACAACAGGGAGCAAGAGAGCATAGGTCAACATTTGATTTTATTCTACATATAAAATAGAAAAAACTGATCTTTTGATACAACCACGGTCTATTTTCTAGGCATTTTATAGTACAAAGATTCAAACTATTTGAAGTACCAGTAAACTCCTTTTTTCTCCGTGTTCTCATCTGGTTCAACATATATGCACTCCTTTGTATCTCGCCACATGGCCTTAAGCACTGGAGTGTCGTCGTACTTGTAAAAGTCACCTAACATAGGCTTCACAGCCTCTCGAGCCTCGATTGCATGATAATGCGGTATTGTTGGGAACAAATGGTGAATCACATGAGTTTGATTCGCGTTGTGGAAAACCCTATTCAAGATACCAAAATCGCGATCTATGGTGGATAAAGCACCTCTTAGCCAGTCCCATTCTGTTGAGTCATAGTGTGCGATGGATGGGTGTGTGTGATTTAGGTAAGTTAGGATAACAAAGAAAACACTCATCACAAACAAAGGAATTCCGTACAGAAAAAGTGTAGCTTTTACGCCTTGTTTCACAGAGAAATGGTAGAACACATAGAGAACGGCCATGATTCCAACATCAGATACCAGAACCTGACGACGCTCACTGCGGTTAAAGATACCACTTTGTGGTAAGAAATGGTTTGCAAACCCTTCGTAATCACGACCATAAACGTTAAAGATTAAGTACAAAGGCAAGCCCATGGTGGTACGTAGGATAAGAGTGAACACGTTGCCTGGTCCGTTGTTCAAAAACTCAGTGAAGAACGTATCAGACTTGCGTTTTGGAATGTACACCTCGTCGTACTCGATTGAATTCGTGTGTGCATGGTGACTCCGGTGACTGTACTTGAACGAGAAGTATGGCGTTAGGCAGACAGAATGGATGAAGAAACCAACCGCGTCGTCTATCCATTGGTACTCGCTAAAGGCATGATGGCCACATTCATGTCCAAGAATCCAAAACCCAGTGAGAATACTACCTTGAGCGAACCAATATAGCGGCCAGGCGACGTAGGATAGGGGTTGAGGGAGCAACGGTATGTAATTTGCTGCAAGATGGTAGAAGGCATAGATGATGATGAGATCCCGAAAGAAGGAGGCAAAGGAGTGAATAAGAGAACGTTTGAAACAGTGTGGTGGGATGGTTTTTTTAAGGTCACCGATCCCAAATGGAGGTTTGGAAATAGGAACACGATCGAGTACATGTTTCCCTGTCATTTGGCCGACAGCTCTAATGGTGGAAGCTTTGAATAATATGCAAGTATAGAAGATAGTTATGCTTTATAGGTGTGGAAGTTGGAGCATACTACTATTTAATTTACACTTGATTTTTGTTTGTGTTGACCCTCTAAGAGAGCTCCAACGCTCACTAAAAAACATTAAATTGGTGAGGTTTTAAAATTAAATTTTGGGTAATAGCCTTTATATTTACATAAAATGTGTGGGTATATCCTTATTCCATTTTAGGTTCATTAATGTCGCACATTTACAATTTTTTTTTAACCTTTTAGGTGCAGGTTTTGAGCAAGTAGCCGGTCACCTGATGCTTTTACATTTTTTTTAAACCTTTTAGCCGGTTTTCAACAAGTAGCTGATCACCTGATGGTTTTTATGTAAATATAAGGGCTACCTGAGGGCCTTTATGTAAATATGAGGAAATCGACACAAACACACATCACCGTCGCCATCTCCATCTCTGCCTCAAATCGATTCCTCCATCTATGCTTCCATTGAGCGTTTCTCCTCTTGCCACCATCTTATATACTCAATCAAGCAAAAAAATCTCCAACATCGATCCCCCCTCTCTCTATCATCTTCTGATTGAAAAACCCTCGAGACTTTAGAATCAACCAACCCGCGGAAGTTTGCACACTCAGACCCAAACCATCATGGCCAATAGGGCCAAACCATACCTGAGATCATCCGCATCCTGCCTAAACATAACCATATAACCGATAGAGACATAATTATACTACAACGAATCATGGTCTCGAGCCGCAATATCTACCATCAACTAGCTCCTTAGTAACATTTTCAACTCTTCCTGATCCATGTACGGATCATGTGCTTCCGGTAGTACGGACACAAACTACCTTCCACGCGTATCCGTATGAGTCCCAAGAATTGTCTCAAGGTTCCCAAGTCACTACACAAGACCACTATTAACCGTTCTAATCACATATACCCGCACTCGAATGAGTACACACCAATAATCTTCCTATATTCCCATTCTTGGATTTCTCTTATGCAAGTGCCCACACTAGCACATTTTAACATTTTTCCTAGGTAACTAGGAGATCCCACACCACCCTACTATCAGTCGCGGAAGAAACTTCTATCAATATCAACTCACTACCTTACGAATACAATTATATGCAACAAAAATTAAATTGTCTTTCAGATTGCAATACAACGGTTGAACTCAAAAAAGAGTTGCGCAATAAAGTCAAATCAAGCATTCTAAAATTATTTAATTTGTGTGGCATGCAACCTAACATATCCGCTTAATAGTTAATAAATATAAATATAGGTTTCATATAGTACAAAGCAAGAGCCATTCAAGAAGCAAATCCATCAGGCAATAAGGCATCAAAAGATCAGACCATTCTAACATGCACATCCTAAAAGATCCTTAGCCTAAACACTAGCATATCTTTCCAAAAGTTCACATAACAGGCACAAAAGGCATCTCTCCTAAGCAGGCATTATAACATGTAACCCTGAGAAGATCCTTAGCCTACTTCTAACATGCAATTCATACTATAACATCACTAACATATCAAACATGTATGGATATTTTGAGAATCACTTACTTGAGCTTCGACTAATTGCATGCATCACATCCTTTTTTATTTTAGAAAACCTTTTTAGAAAAACAGTTTGTAAAAAGATTTTCTCAGTCCTCAGTTTAAGTTCAGACACACCAGTGCTAGCCCGAATCCCTCAAACCAAGGCTCTGATACCAACTTATAACGTCTCGAATTTCAAACCAAAATTTTCATTTTTAAAACAGAGGAAACTATACCATTAAATCATAAAAAGTAACAGTCAATTATTTGATAACATAAATCGGAATAAATCCATAAGTGTGAAACATCTCAAAATCATAATAGAAGATGCGATGTATTCACGTCGTGCTCTTCCCTGTACTGCCAAAAAGACCTGTCACATTTAAACTTAACCTCTTAAGCACAAAGCTTAGTAATTTCCCCACGATACAACATACATTACATAACATTGGCCCCTACCGTAGGGGTATCTTACAACCTATACGAATACTATGGTCCACCTATAGTCTTACAATCACTTCTGTTGCTACAGTCCCCCTGTGGTCTTTCCTGTTACGGTCCCCCATGGTGTTTCATACAATTTGCTATGGTTCACCCATAGTCTTTCATACATTTTGTTATGGTCCACCCATAGTTTTTCATGCAAAAATCACAAAGACAATTTACCATATCATGACACCTAGTATCATACATAGTATAGTAAGAAGACTCACATGAATCAAGAGTTGAATCTGACTGCTTGAAGTCCCATTGAATCAGCTACAAGTATGACCAAAACTCAAATTGGTTAAAAAGTCAATGGTTAACCAAACTAACCACCGCGTTGTGGCCAAACCTTTTGACCGTGTCGTGGTCACTAAAGAACAAAAAAAAGACATGGGGCATGAGTCCACCACGCCATGGACAACTCCCCACCGCGTTGTGGTGAATGTCCTTAACATCTTATTTCGTTATGCTCTTAACCACTAAGTCCAGAGCCACAAGGCTCAAATCTGATTTGTCTAATGATACTCATGGATAAATTTTATATTTTTATCCATTCTAAAGGCTCAAACCATTGAGAGCTCTAAACCTAACTCTCCAAGGAACCAAAAATAGCACTTAGAGCATGCATGCCACTTAAATGAAGATGAAGTCCAGATCTTCGCACCACAATGGGTCTAGAATACTTAAAGATTCAACATTTACTCCTTTTGGCTCCAAAGCCCTAATCATTGGCTTAAATTACTTAACCAACATTATCAACATCTAATAAGTTCCAAAACTTTACCCCTTAAAGTTCAAGATATTTACATCATCAAACTACAGCTCACTATCCCGAATTGAGAAACAACCCAAAATTAGATGTTACAGACGTCCATATAAGTAAAATGATGTTTTTATATATAACAACAACAACATCAACATCAACAAAACCCTTAATCTCAATATAAACATATGAAATACCACTGTAAAAAAACATTATATATATATATATATATATATATATATGTGTGTGTGTGTGTGTATATTTGTTTGTGTGCATATAAACATATGAAAATATTCATATATGCATATTTATATACAGATGAAAAAACACATTAATAAGTTAAAACGTTGTTATAAAAGGTGATTCGTTAGAAAAGAATTAAAAAAAATGTTTTTCTGCTGATGCGCATATGGTGCACAATTTTCATTTTATGTAATTTTTTTTTCAGAATATCAACCTAGAAAGATGTTAAAAATGATGTTTTTAAATATGTTTAGTTATTTTTTTCAATAGAAGATAAGCTCTAAAAAACAATTTTCAAGTGATATGGGAATACGATGCATATTTTACGTAATTTTTTTCGAATATCAATATGGAAATACGTTAAAAAAATGATGAATTTATCTATATTTAGTTTTTTTTGTGATAAAAGATAAGCTCTAAAACAAGGTTTTTTTAATGACAAATTTAATCTAATCGTAAACTACTCTTGAATCCACCTATGTCTCAGACGAGACTTGAACCCTCGACCTCAAACAATGAGAGCAACACTTGATACCGCTAGGCTAGAAGCCCTTTGGTAGCTCGAAAACAAGGGTTGAAAATTTGATCATAATGATCTTAAAATGTCACAACTAGTATTTAAGGCTAGGAAATTATGTCCATGTGTAATTACTTTTGGTGAATTCTTGTAACCCTAAGTACTATGTTATACATGTTATTCATTCAACAACAATAATTCGAATCAAAACTCACACGTAAAGTCCTACTCAACTTTGGGTTTGAAACCCTAACTTCCCAGTTTAAATTTTTATTAGACCAGGATCCTCTTATTGGGCCTAATGGACCAATAAACCCTCAATTTTATTCTTTTGGGCTAAGAAACCTCATTTGAGCCCTAGTTGGACCCACATTCATTAAGCAATAGTATTTTGGGCCATAAGACTTTTCATGGGCCTAATTGGGCCAAAACCATTCAATTGTTTTTCATGGGCCGAAACCCATTCCTTATACTCATTTCGGCCGAAAACGAGTATGAGGGCCTAATGGGCCGAAAAATTTATCTTTGGGCTACACAAATTCGGTTGATAATCAAATGTGAGCCCAACATCCAAGTTTCTTTCTTTCCCTCACCTCATTCTTAATTTTAATAAAAAAATTGAATTAATCTAAATACTTGACACCTCCTTATTGCATGGAGGATATCCATGCATCTAACCTCACATACATCTAAGAATCTCATACTTCAAGGCAAGATATTTCTCTCCTCTCTCTTCCTCTCTAAAAAACTCGGCCCTTCCACCCTTCATTTGAAACTTCATTTCGTTTCTAAATTCTCTCTAAACTCTCAAGAACACTCTCACTTTTACCTCTTCAAATTCGTGATTTTGGTGTGTGCAAGAGGATCACTTCAAGCTTTACACTTGTAGTAAGATCATATAAACTCAAATTGAATTATTTCATTTTGTGTTAAGGATTTACTCTCATAACTACCTTCATTTCGTGTTTAAGCTTCCTAGAACTTCTTAAGTTCGAAACTCTTCCCAAAGGGACACTTCAAGGCCAAAAACACCTTCATTCTCTTTCATTTCTTCATCAAAACCAAATCCATCACCAAGGTGAGCTTCATACCCACTTGTTTTCGGTTTTACTATGTTTTGGGGGGAGAATACCAATTGGTTTTGTGTTAGATCTAAGTATTATACATGTATGTGTGCATTTTTTGTGATATGCTGTGTTTATTCCATGAAAACATGCTAAACATGAAATACCATCCAAAACTTGGTGTTATTTGTAAATAAACCATGTGAAGTAACATTACATAAGGATGAAAGGAGTAAACATGTAAAAAGTTTTAGAAAAACAAAGAAAGTATGCAACAAGGGCCATATTTGACAATAAAGATAAACAAGATGGACTATTTGGTCATTTTTGGCTTTTAATGGGTTAATTTGTCAACC